AATACTTATTAATGAATAGAAGAAGTAGTTATTTTTTTTTCAATCGAAAATAATTTTGTCTTAGACTGTAGTAAAAAACACACAGATCCTAGCTTTGTATAAGCAGAAACATTTCATGCACTTAAAATAATCAGTTAAAATTGTAGCCTATAACATGCTAAGGTTCAACTTTAAACATAGTCTTTTTGAAAATGTTAGTCAATGTATTAAATATTTTTTTTACATCATTCAAGTCTTCATTGACAATGGAAGCAATTCCATTCTATATTTTCGGTACACAGCAATATTTTGTTTAGCCAGACTTGATTGTTCGGAGGGGCAAGTAATATATCCGGAGAGGCAATGGATAGTGTTTAGGTGCAGTATAATGGAATTGGTCAGTTGACAAAAATTTTTCGTTTGGGCAATCCATTTTTTCCAATTCATCTCTATCAGTTTGAACATCGAACATTAAGATACATTCGACTAGATTCATTTCTTTCGGCATGGCCAAATCGTGTTAAAAAATGAACACGAACTCGAAAAAAAAGGTCTCAAACCTTCTGGAATTGAATTGTAGAAAACACCACATTAGTCAATTAGGTCCGGATATCAGAGACTATTTCCAATGTATTAGTTGAATATCCAGAGACACGTGTTATTTAGAAGCAGACGTGTTCCTGACATTTATTTCAATCTAGAAGTTCCAATTGTTTCCCTAGGGTTTATCAACTAGCTATTCATATCAATATCTATTGCTTATTTTATTATACTTATCAATATAGAAAATACCACAGGCACCCGGTGGATTGACGTCAGTAAGATACTTAACCTTATAAATTATCAGTAAACAAGCACCATTTTTCACGTTTCTAAAGAGCAAAATGCTTTTCTAAACTGATGAGTTCTTGTTGTGTTGGAGACTATGCAAGTAATGTTCTAGTTAGACCCTATACCCGATATGATATTATAAAGACTGACTAACAGCTACAATTGTCTTGTTAATCAGATATTTTCAGTTAACCAGCAAAAAAAAAAAAAAAAAAAAACAAATCAGATAAAGCGGCAAAAACGGATATACTCTTTTAGGCCTAAATGAATTTTAATTAATAAGATCTGATGTATGTATGTCCATACATTATGCATTTATTCCCAAATAACAAATTCATAATTTAAATTCAAATCAGAGGTCTAGGTGACGATCGTCCTTCAATACAAGGCTTGGGATACAAAACCTGCTCTCCACTGCTACGCTGCGCGAGCGAATCCGGCAAAATGAGAATATAAAGTTTCAGTCTTTTCAGAAAACCAAATGAATACCCTGGCTCATCATCTGGTAATGAAGTAGAAATAGCAAATCTACTTGTTTGGCATTTTAAATAAATATTCATATATTTACAGAAAACATTTTGAAAATCAAGCACGCTTTAGAGTTGTTTTATATCTTGAAGATCGTTTTTCCGGTTTAAGAAAAGCAAGAAGAGCTTTAAGTAATGCATCTCTGCGTATAAATAGAGATTTTAACTATTTCTTTACTAATAACAGGCTAATTGGGGTTTTGTGATCATTCCAAAGTACCGAATATCGGCTGACTTAAATCGGCGTTCCTTACAAAACTGTCAGTTTCTGGCTGAGAAGAAATAGGCGACTCGAGAGACTAGTTCAAGTTGTTAATGACAAATGTTTTATCTAATCCGACTCAGATTGGGATATCCCACTTGGGCTAAGAACTTTTCAGCCAATCCTCGTGCTATACAGTAGTTCGTTGACAGCTGAAATTATTTGTGCTGAGAGAACATTGCATTTTTGGTTGACCATATAGACAAATAATTACAGGACTATTTTTGGACATTTACATGTTACAGCACTTCTCTGAAAAGGCCGCAAGTTTTAAAGTTTAAAATCTATCATTATGACAAGAACATGTGGGTTTTTTTCAGAAAATATATAAAAGGACCTTCTTACTGTGTTCATGTATATTCACTAGACACGAGAAACTACGACATTATCAAGTTTGAAATTGATTTACAGCCTCGTGGCTAATTTTACGAGGATTCAATTTAATATCATGTACTGCTTCTATATGGTTTGTCAGTAATCTCTCCATGGCGTGACTTGACGTTAATCATGTCTGATGGTTCTTTGGGCTCACCACTTTGTTTCTACTGGTTGTTAGTGTTTATAATCTGATCAAGGAAATTTCTTTGACTTTTCTGGTCAACTACGTATTAATCCATTTTTTCTTAGCATCGCCACAAGGCAAATATTTCACATCAAATAATAGACTCAGTAGTTAGAGATCACGATTGTGTTCGAATGTCATCGTTTTAAAATCACAATTTGTTGCTTATTTCAGTGTTGGTTGTTAACAGCTGTAATATATTTGTGTTATAAATTCTACTGTCGACTAGGACAGCAATGGCAGAAACCAGTTAATGCTTTCTGAGAGACCGTTTCATTTTTTGGTTTACCCTAGACTAACTACATGACTATATTTGGACATTTAGATATTTTCTTTGAAAAGGGTACAAGAGTCGCCCTTGATAGCCACAAAAGATGTGCCTACTCTTTGGTTTAACTTTGGTTTTCTCGTGAATTTTGTCTTAATGAAAGACTTGATTTGAGAGTGCGTATTTTTCTGTGACAATCTTTAAGATCTAGTTGCTTATACAACTGAGAATATATTCTAGTCGTTTTATATTAAACAGCACTCAGGAAACCATGGCAACATTTAACTGCTATAAATAAAAAAAACCTGTAAAAATTTATTGTTTTAAGTAATATTCTTCAATAATGATTAAATGCACTCACTTTCATTCAGATAATAAACCTATTCACACTGTCGAGTACAACGATTGAATGCACAAAATAACAAATACTAAAACTTAAAGTATTTGCAGTTGTAGCAACCAATAGCTGTTGTAATACTTTACATTTTCCAAAAATGAAAATTAACCAAGGTCAACAGAATTACACTACAAATAAGTTTCATTTTCTAACCTTGATATATATGCGATTACATATCTTAATTTACCTGTGTTGGACATGGTATAATGTTCTATAATTTACAAGGATTTTAACAGTTAGGTTCAGTTAGGTTCACCAAGGATCAGCCGGCCCTTGGCCAAAGCTCTTGGTATTGATCTTTCCCGGAGTATTCGTACCCATTTACAGCTGGGTCGACTGGAATTATGAGAGAACCCACAACTACCATATTATGTATGAGGTAACCAAACAAATGACGTCAAAGAACCAATGCTCTAACCTACTATGCTACACCTCTAACCACCTATGCTACATAACATAAAGTTAAGTAAAACAAAACTGTTTAAAAAAAAGTTTATGGTTTTCGCAATACAGTAATTGATCATCATTCAGTCAAAATTCATACACCCTTCCTGCAAGTCCACTTAAACTAAGTTTTGATCACTAATCGCAAAGTATGCTTTATCATAGAAGGCCCTTCGCGATTAGTGACGTCATCAAACACTTAGTTTTAGTGGATGCAGGAACCACAGACATCGGATAGAAAATAGGTGGTGCAAATTGGATACGGAAAATGTCATCGAGTTAAAACTTTAACACAATAAGACTAGAAACTAAATATAATACCGGATTTAACATGGAAATCGTCATTGTCATTTGATCAATCTGTTTATGTCATTGACGTCTAAACTTAGATCCTATAATGTCATAGATACTTTATCTTATCATGAACCGAATACGGGATGTAAATGTCCTAATGTTATATTGATAAAATGTGAAATATATAGAAGTTAATATTTGTAAGCTATTACTTTTAAATTAAAGAGTCGTGCACATTAAAATATTTTCAAAATGATTTTTCATCGATATTTTCGGTATTCGGTGACATGATATGTATGTCATGTCGATCTGAGTCATACTTCACTTTATTCCTGTATATATGAAAGTTATCAGGATAAGTCTAGGGCTAAATGACGATCGTCTTGAATTCAACACATGGCCTATGATAAAAAAAAATCCTGCTCTCTACTGTTACATTTCTTGCAGGATGTCTAGATATTCACAAGTTCAGCAAATTAAGATATAAAGTTTCATGTCTTTTCATTCTTTAAATAGAAATGTGATAGCAAGAGAAATGCGATAGCAAGAGAAATGCGATAGCAAGAGAAAGGTGAACGATAGCAAGAGAAATGTGGTAGATAGAAAAAGAAAGGTGATAGCAAGAGGAATGCATTACTCAGACATCAACTCAGACAGTCGACATAACTGTTTGTTTGATATATAAACTAATATTGATTAATTATTGATACTCATAATGCCATGTCGATTCAGCATGTGATGTTAATTGGTAACAGTTCAATACATATGACTAACGCCTGTTTTTAATAGCAAATGACTCTTTTTATGAAGCATTGTGTCATGAATGAAAGGATAAATTTGATATTAATATTGATGTTTATAGTAATCATATAGAATGCATTAGCGCAGGCAAAATTGTTTTAATTGCATAACCGAAAGATAAAGCAAGCCTTTAAAACGCACGATCTTATAACGATTGGTACTAATATTGCCAAAAGGATTAAGATAACGACGTAGAAAAAATATGGCGATAATTTCATAAATAACTACAGAAACAGCTGGCGGTTATTCTCAGATCATTTTAATGTTGACAGTTGGCTGTAACAAATAAGAAGTTAACAACAGCTGCAGTACCTCCATACTACTTGATTTGGACTTCCTCAAATCAGCAAGGGTATTGATTTATTGAACAAATTATAAAGAACTCGTAGATTGGATAAGTATTTACAATCTTGAAGGCCGACTCCTTGCGGCTCGAGGTTTAACTCTTGTATATGAGTATTTACAAATGTAAAATAGAATTGACTAATTGAATACTTTTTCGAAAGCTTTAAATACATACATATTTCAATTTTCAGAAAAACAATAAGGCTGTAAACTGTGCATGGAAAGATATGTACATTGCGCTTTGAAACTTCATGTAACATGAACTTTGAACTTGGAACTCACGGGCCTATCTACAAACAATGAACCTCGTCTTGAAACCCACAACCCTGAAACAATGAACATAGTCTTGAAATAACGTCTAGAAACAACGAACCTCGTCTTGAAACAACGTCTAGAAACAACGAACCTAGTCTTGAAACGTTTAGAAACAACGAACCTCGTCTTGAAACAACATAAAAAAAACAATAAACCTCATCTTGAAACAACGAACCTCATCTTGAAACAACACCGAGAAACAATGAACCTCGTCCTGAAACAACGTCAAGAAACAATGAACTTCGTCTTGAAACCCCATCTTGAAACAATGAACCTCGTCTTGAAACAACGTCAAGAAACTAAACTTCGTCTTGAAACAACACCAAAAAACAATGAACCTCGTCTTGAAACGTTTAGAAACAACGAACCTCATCTTGAAACAACACCTAGAAACAATGAACCTCGTCTTGAAACAACGTCAAGAAACAATTAACTTCGTCTTGAAACCCCATCTTGATACAATGAACATCGTCTTGAAACAACGTCTGGAAACAATGAATCCTGTCTTGACACAACGCATGGAAACAATGAACCTCGTCTTGAAATAACGTCAAGAAACAATGAACTTCGTCTTGAAACCTCATCTTGAAACAATGAAGCTCGTCTTGAAACATCGTCTGGAAACAATGAATCTTGTCTTGAAACAACGTCTGGAAACAATGAGTCTTTTCTTGAAACCCACAACCCAGAAACGATGAAGAAAATCTTGAATTCACTCCTGGAAAAAATTAACCTCGTCATAGAACGACACATAGAAATAATGAACCTTGTCTTACAACCCCTCTAAACAATAAACCTAGTCTTGGAACGACACCTAGAAACAATGATCTTCATCTTGAAATAACACCTAGAAACAATGAACATAATATAGAGAAACGGTGAACTTGGTCTTGAAGCTTTTGTGTAAAACCACATTTATCACATCTTTTTTTTCTTAAAATGTGAATTTGAAGATTGAATTATTGTTCTAAGATTACTCCATTTGAAACTAAATTCCTTTTTGATTGATATGTGCTCTTGTTACTGATATAGGGCTCTTGAACCCACGCCATTCGAACGATTTCCAATTAAGAAGGACACAATTTCAGTATCAAGAGTCCAATTCTAAATACAATTCCCTGATGTAAACAATGACAAAGACGTCATTGAGCTGATGCATTTACGAAATTGACAGAAATAATTAAGGTTGACTTTTGACTGTATTTACGCTCATTATTTCTGGGATTACTAGGTTTATGTTGGTTTGAACAAATTTTGCAAATTTTTTACCAGGACTGGAGTGACTATAGATAAACAATTTTTTGTAAACTTCAGAGAAGTTGTATTTTGTACTATAGTAAATTTTACACAAGTTGATAAACGTAAAGAAAGCTAAATGGATAAGGTGACATATGCCTACATAAATAACTAGATAATAGCAATAATCCTTTAGAAAGGGGTGACTTTTTTGTTAAAAGGATACTACCTCTTAGAATGTGTTATATATTCATAGTTGAACTATGACTTAAGAATAGAATCTCTATATAAGACGATAATATCCATTAAACTGAATAATTCTTGAAACACGCTTCTAAGCATGCTGCAAAATTACCTAGTTCCATGAATTATTACTTAGTTTTATGTATTTATTGGATTATAGAGGTATTCTTATGACTCGTAAGTCATGATGAACAATGACTCAAAATTTAAACAAGTTTTAAAATTTCAATCTTGGTCATCCTAAGAGGTAGTGTACCTTTAATTTCTCTACTAACTATTTTCATTAAATAACGTTTGCGCACTGGTAGGGACGGACAGACCACGTCGGTTATAGTACTTCTAGCAAGTTATTTCATGTTAAAATAAAGAAATATTGGCTTACCTGCTCAACCACAAATATCCTAAAATCTAAATCTTGTCTTTTTAATACTGGTATTAAATGAGCTAAAAGTACTATTAAATGTGATAATCTGTCTCTATATGGTATGATAATAGCTACACGGTATCTAGGAACACAATTTGTAGGCCTCCAATGGCCACCAGACATAATATCTGGATTAGATGTTAAAACGTCACTAAATTCCACATGTTCATCACTATGATTCACTTTGGCCATTGCAGAACCAACTGAAAAGAGAAGAAAGATAATGCTTGATATATTATTTAAATGAAATGAATGGAGTTTTACGTCCTACTTTTCTGGACCATTAGGGCTAATGAAGACGGATAATGCCATGCAGGGTGCAATGAGGTAAATTTTTTCGGGACAGCGTCATTAGCCTTATCTTTTTCGATTATCAACTGTCGAGATATCTTAATCGTGCACAACCTTTAGCACATGGGGACTCGATATGTTTACTGCCCCATCCCAACGACTACACGCTTTTTCCTTGTCATCCCCTCTTACCTGACTCACTGGCAAGGGAAACGCGCTTTGAAACCTTTGTAAATAAGTAGGTTGGGAAATAAACTACCAACACAAGACATATCTATTAAGACGATGTTTTAATAATAAAAATTTGCATGCCGTCCTTTTAACAATGATTAGCCTCCTGAAATGTTATGCATTCAAATTTGTTTTTGATTATTTGCGAGTTTGTATGATGACCCTGTGCTTTTTCTACAGAAAAATTCATAGCTATATGAAGACCGACAAAGCAAAATAATATATTAGATAGAGGGTGAGATAGAGTTATATGATATGCTTTTATCATAGTTTATCTAAACTAAAAAAAAAACAATCTTATGTTTGTAGATCACACTTGTTTACCCATAGATGGGTCTGAATAAATGGATATTACGAATATGCAATAAAAAGACGTCAATCAATCTTCGAGTTTCCGGGTCTTGCAACGCAGATAAATATTTCGTAGATAAAATTACATTGACCTGATATGATTATAATGCAGATAAAACGACGTATAACTATGAAGGTGAATGGTGCAATATGATTTTGTCAGATAATGAATGATATGATAAACTGGTAGTGGTATATGAGGATTGGGTGATCATCAATATATACAAATGAAAGTTGCTTTCATAAAATCACCTAAAAGGCACGTGGAATAAATAATAAACGTGACAATAAATTAACTAGTCTCGATCATCTCATAAGAAACTTACATAAAAAAAACACACGAACATAGTTCACAACCATTTTGAATAACTTGGACTGAATAAGTCGAGTTTTTTAAAAAAGGCTATAATGTTTCAACAAAACCCTTCAAATGACATTAAAGTCATTTCTAAACCTTTAAATGTGATTTGAATGCTTAGTTGAAATATCATAACCTTTATAAAAATTTGGCTTATTAAGTCGAGGAAGAGATTCAAACGAACAACGTTCGTGCGTGTTATTTGCATGTAAGAACCAGACTTAGTTTCGTATAGAACTTTCCCATACAATATTTCAGTGATCATAAGGCGACTAGGAAATCGAAAAGATATTATGCACATTTTTCCTTCGATTTTCGTGCACAAAACTTCCTAGATTTAAGCATGGTTGTGATAAAGACATAATATTAACTTTATAATCAATCTAATGTGTCGGTGTTCACTGATAATACATACATGTAGTTCTGATTCATGAACAAACATATTATTACATGTATTATCTTTTTATAATTCACTATTTTTTCTTTACCGATGATAAATTTGATCGAAAATAATCGAAAACTGTTCATCTAAAATCGTCAGGTTTGAACTCTTTTAACATCTCATAATGTTCAATGATCATAAATCGAGGTATATAAAAACCGATTAAACAGTGAAAACTCTTCCTCGACACTTGAAAAAGGATAATATTTCGAAAACCGGTTCGTGTCAATTGCCATATACAGTTTCCTCCTGTTACATCCGCTGTACATTCCCTTCTAACCCCAAGTTATTTTCATTATGCTCCCCAACTACAACAACCACTGGCAAGAAGCCAGAAATAGAAACACTAATCGTCAACCAAACCAATATCACGTACCCTACAACGGCCCTGTCTTCCATCGACCTCTACCACCTACCAATCGCCGACCACCAACCAACCCATCCAGCTATATCCCACCCCATCGCCGACCTACCTACAACACAGCCTACCAATCAAGAGGTAACCATCGACCTGACCAACAACAGAAACGACTACCAGCCCACCGACGCCAACCAGTCCCCACTCATAAGGAGGAAGAACCCTTTGTGAAGGTGTTCTTCCAAGTTTTGCAGTGCCTCCATCATTTGGCAATCCTTACCCTTCAACAGCAAGGCCAACCAGCGTTTACCTTCAAACGCAAAGTCTTGGAGTTGGATAGTTTTATCCGTCCAGCAATGAAAACATCAGCTGTCGACGCGAATATTAGATCCCTCAATCGGACATGGCTCTGTAAGGTCACGCAGGTCCTGATCGTCGCTCCTATGGGAAACGTCTCACTCAAGCTGTAATCTCCAAATTCTACCAAACAATCAACGAAACAAAAACCAGAGTAGCCATATCTCTACCAACTGAAATGGACACTACACCTGCACCATCTAGAGCCACCACGCTGCCGAACCAAACCCCTAAACGAGCCCGAAGTTCACCTACTCCTAGTCCAGCAGACATAGGTAAACGCTCTCGTAGAGAGGGCACACCCCTTCTCTTTTCACTTTCAGACTCGTCTTCCCCTTCCACACCATCTTAATCTTCACCACGTGATCCAGGATCCGCCAACCTTTTTTCCTTCATTGCGTTTTTGGACCAGCAAAACACCCCTCAGTCTCCATCCAAGTCGAGACGTGTATCCAGACCTTCCCCTCTTCGAACCAGATCCCAGTCCGTTCCCAATGCTACAATTCTAACAACTACCAAACCAGTACCAATCACACCGTCGACGACCATTATATCCGCTACCAAACCGTATTATCACCAAACCAAGGACAAATCATTATGGAAACTACCTGCTCTAAAGAAATCTACCTTAATAATTGGATCATCTAACCTGAATCGAATTACCAAAACCAGTTCAGACACTGAAATACATTCTTACCCCGGTGCCCAAATCCATCACATCAGTCAATCCTGGAATCATATGACCACGATCCCAAACCTACTACCATTATTCTTCATGTAGGCCTCAACAACCGTGATCAGATACCAAAGACCTCTTTTAACCAAGCCCAGAAATTAATCGCCACAGCCAAAAAAACCTTCCCAAACTCCAAGATCCTCTTCACATGTATACCCATTTCAAATAAAATCTCGAAGAAAGCACAACAGAATCTCAGCACTCTCAACAACATGATGATGGAGTCTAGTATCAACAGCGCAACAATCTTACCACCCTACGAAGAAGAATTCGAAACAGTTGATAATCTTCATTGGTCTCCAGAAACAGCAAACAACATCTATTTGTTTTGGATACACCAGCTTCAAGCATCGAGTAAGTCTTTAAACTAATTACTGGGGATAAAAATACTGAGAGGCCACCGCTAGGCCAAACTGTAGTTAACTTGAGCCGCAAAATTCTCACACCCCTTCAGCATTCAATCTTAGACCGTGGACTTAAGTTTATTCCCACACCAAAGATAGCTAACTTGAATTATCTCCGACCATCCATTGAACGATTTCAACGAAATCTTAGCTGCACATATTTTTTTCGAAACCACCCCCCACGTGGTGCTAGAACAATGTTTATTCCTAAATCCACGTGGACACCCCCTCAGGCCGCCATCCATCCTGATATATTGAAAGCATTTGCGAGTATGAATAGCCAAACAGTGAATCTTTCCATAACACACGAAAAGCCTAATCTCACACGAGTGGAACGTGAAGCGTTAAACTTACTTAAAAAGACGATAGCATTGTTATTAAAAAGAGTGACAAAGGTTCATGTTGTGTCATTCTGAATAGGGAGGATTACGTTTCAGAAGCAGAGAATCAACTGAATAATCCTAAACATTATGCCATTTTACCGAAACCAATTTTCAAAGAAACTGCTAATATGATTAATAATATTCTTGCCGATTTAGTCAAAACTAGTTATCTCAAACAGAAACAATATGACTATCTGTCTGCCAAACCTGATTGTCGCGAGAGACATTTGTACACTTTGCCTAAAATCCATAAGAATCCAACCAAGGAGTGGTTTATCTCGAATAAAATCCCGAAAGGCCGCCCGATTATATCTGACTGTGGTAGTGAGTCATATGCAGTGTCAGAATACATTGATCATTTCTTACTACCTCTAGCATGCCAACATCGCGCCTACCTTAAAGATTTTGTCAATAAAATAAAAAATCTTCGAGTTCCCTCTAATGCTATTTTAATTTCTATCGACGTTTCTTCTATGTATACCAATATCGATAACACTACTGGTTTAACGGCAATTCGTAAAGCTTTTAATAGAAACCCAGATCCAAACAGACCCGACGATGCAATTCTACAGCTT